GTCAGAAATTTCCTAGCTACTTGAAGGGATTTGGAGCAAATGACACAATGAGACATCCAGACAGTGAGGAAAGCTATGTGTTCGACGTCAGAAGCCTCACTGGTAGATTTGTCGAAGAAGTGGGAGATGAATTGGAAATACGTGGGTTTGACAGACGAAAAACCTATGGAGTCATCTGACTCAAGGTCAGGATCGTAGGTGGTGCCCGTTGGTTTTAGCCCTGAGATTGAGGCAAATAAGTTACTAACATGGTGAGGATACTAACATGGTCGAACAATAGTTTAGACCAGTTTTCGACAGCATGATGAGGTCATAGATCCCCATTTGTTTCCAAAGGTGGGACTTAACCTTTTCAACTTTGTTTAGCCAGTTCATGTACTCGTTTGACTCCTTGAAAGAGGGTGTGGTGCAGAAAACCCTAAAATTGGTTCCCATATACCTTAAGTCTATTCCACTAAGGGCTACAACATCCTCAGTGATATTCTCTATTTGCTGTTTGTTGGCTTGGCCTATGGTTTTGACTTACGATAAGATGGGAAGAAGTCTCTAATGGTTTTAGAATGAAAATCTACAGAAGGTAGAGGCCCGCAGAGGGCATGCCTATTCCCATCAATAGTGAAAGGAATTAGTACCTGAGAAGCGTAGATTCTGCGTTTTTCCTCCTCCAGTGGTTCAAGCGCGAACTGTTGGTTTCCCACCACCTTCGGCCCAACCAACGTTTCAAAAGGTGGGAGCTGAGAGGTTCTTTTCAAATCCTTCTTGTGAGCTTTCTTGTGATCTTTGGTCATGGTGGAAGAAGACATTTTTAAAATGAAGGTTGTGGAAGAAGAAAGGAAAATCTAGGTTTCTTTGTGAGAGAATTACAAGGGAATACTAGAAAGCGTAAAAGGTGATTTTGGGAAGATGGCGCCACTTATAGGAGAAGGTAAAAGAACATGGAAATGGAAAAAGATTAGTTGACGATTAACATGGCTATAGTGGGACACGTGTTGTACCGGAAAATGTTTGAGGGAATGTGAATAGTTAAGTCTAAAACTCACCTTTTCTTAGGCCATGATATCTTAGAACCTAGGAGCATGATCACAACTAGTGGCATGCGTGAGGGAGACATGTTGAAGCTGATGTAATAAATGGTAATGATGTCATTAAGTATGGGGAGCAGTGAGGATGTGACTTCAAAGACATACGAAGGTCATGAGAGGCGTCGAAACAGAGTATCAAAAAATGTCATTTTCTCCAGAGGTCGAAAGTGACATTTTTGAGGGGCAATTTGTTAGCCTTGAATTTCAACTCCCAGGTAGAAATGTTAGGTTTTTGAGTTAAGGCAACATTTTCGACTATGGTTATGCTACGAGGATTTTGTCCAGAAAACAGACGATTCGACAGATAAGAACCTGTGAAGTTTGAATTCGAATTCTGGAGGGAAATGCAGTTTATTTTTCGCCATTAGAAGGAGGCACGTGGCACTGTTTCAAGTAATCAGGGCATGCAGAGTGACATTTGTTTTAATCTAGTACATTGAGTCATTAGAAGCGGTTGTTTCGACTGGTTATAAATAGTGGCTCAATTTAGGATTTATTGTGTGTTCATTTTGTATAAGTCACTCAGAAAATTGCTCAAAGTATCCAAGTCAAAGAGAGAAAAGAGTTATAACTGAGAATGCACGTGTCGAAACACCATCTTTTATTTTAATGCATTAAAGTTTTTCTTTTCTTTTATAAGAATCTTCCTTTACTTTAATGCTTTTATGCGAGTTATATTTTCTGGTCTTTACCCTTTGCTTCGAATTGCTATCTTTTTCACCCCAAACTGCTTTCATTTTTTACTTGTTTTATTGCCAAAACCTTTTTTATTATTTTCAATACTGTCGAATTATATATCCTTCTCTTTTAGATTTCATTTAATTTTAAACTCAGATTAGCTATGTCCTAGGATTTAGTATGGTCGATCCTGCAAGTTAAAACGAGTCTTTAAGATTTCTTAGACCAACGGTTGTTCTCCAAATTTCACGGCGAACAACATGGAATCGTATAATAAATTCTTCCACAAAAGAACTATATGCCGATTTCTTTATTAATTTCCGAAAAGTGTGTGAAAAGTATTTAGATTTGTTGAAATATGTTAAAAGCACCATTATTGATCAAGTGAAGGAGAAGATAGTTTGTGCATGCACTAATAATGTTAAACACCTTAGAAATACAACTACTAACAGAGTTGAGTTGGCCCATGCTACTTTGAAAATTTGGTTGGGAAATAGCAAAGGGGATTCGTGGAGCGACTAGGACTCAGTGAACTACATGATTTAAAACCAGCATAATGAGATACAAACAACATTTGGTCGGAGGATCACAGTTTTGGAACACCGATTTAAAGACAACACTCTATATTCTCATTTGGTCGGTAACATTTCTTGGGCGGGTTTGAACTATATTTTTTCACGAGGCTAAACGAGCTGATAAAGTAGGATCCGATATCGCAAAGTGTGGTTGCACTATTATGAAAATATATGGTCTCCTGTGTGCTTGTACTATTTCTAAAAAGGTGAAACTTGGTGAACCAATAAGAATGGATTAGGTTTGCTCTTATTGGAAAAGACTTAGGTTCGATGATGATGGATGCATGGATGGTGGGAAATCGAATATCTCTATTTTGACCGAATGAGAAGCAATACAAGAGAGATTTACGAAGACCGATGACATCATGAAACTCCACATCAAAGAAAAATTGAGGAAGATTGTCTATCCTGAAACCACCGACATAAAACCGCCTTCTCTAACCAGTAAAAATAAAAGGGGCTCCGAAGAAAATGAAGCCTACATCGAATGACAACTCGACTACACCGCCTCCTTCATATTTTCTAACACATTGACAAAGTTTTTCCCAACTCACCAACTTCAAAATATCTAAAAAGTGTTGTGAAAGGAGCCCGCATTAGCAAACCACCTCTGACGCCGCTTCCACTGAAGATTCTATTCATCAATGAGATGCCGGTTTTTATGCACAAATATATCAAGGGGATCGTCGATGTTGTGGGGGATGGTAATTGCGGTTACTGAGCCATTTCAGATTTACTCGGTAAAGGAGAAGATAGTCACGTGCTTGTCCGACATTAACTTATCCAAGAGTTAAAGACGCATAAAGAATCGTACACGTGGTTGTATGGAAATAAAGAAAAATTTAATGCGGTTTATGAGTCTCTTGTTCCTTGCATGAGCGGTCCGACACCAGAGTTAAATTGGATGAGTTTTCCGAATATGGATCACCTAATAGCATGTGCGTATGATAGGGTGTGCATTGAACAGACACACTACAGTTTTTCGGAAGCCTTTTTCCCACTGCACACTGCATCACCCCAAAATCTAAATGATCGTATCATGTATATTGGATGGCTTTCAAAATCAAGTCATTTTGTTCAAGTTTACTTGAAACTGGGTTGCCATATACCACTTACATCATCGGAGTGGATGACTCATTCAAACGCAAAAGGCGAGACGTGGCCGAATCATTTCACGGAAAGGATGCAAGAATTCGAGAGATTGAACAACATTTAAAAAAATCGAATGTACAAAAGTCCAAGGGGGTACCACCTATTAATTTAGTCAGCGACACTTGTTTTGATTCGTTTTGATTTCTTGTTTAACCAGACAAATAATTGTATATTTGTATCTCAATATAAATAATATGTTACTTATTCGCTTTTTATTCATATTTGGTCTTAATGTGAGTGTCTGTTATATGGTTCTATTTTGGAAATGGTTCAGAAGAAGTTTCAGAGATACATTTCTAGAAGGTTCTGTTATATGGTTTGTTTTTTAAATGGTTCAGGAAAAGTTTCGGAGATGCATCTCCGAAAAAAGATAATAGGGTGGAATTTCGGAGATATATCTCCGGAATCAATATGACAATTAATGAGTGGTCCATATTGAACTAGGTCTTTTATAAATTTAGGTGTTTTTGTGTTATATTTCACACAAACTTAAAATGTCTCAAATGTCATAAATAAACATCCGCTGGTATATCGCAAATGTCTCATACTCCAACGGCTCTACACCTGGTTAACCGTTCAAGCTCACTGATCTCACCCCCTCAAAGATATCATAGACGAAACCCACCATCTCCTACCTTATGGAGACAAACGAAGGATTGTGAAGCTTGAGTACCGTTCATTTTCGATTGACAACGAAGAGAACACTGTGTTTGGTAAATATGAGCTCAATACTCGAGCGAATGTTAGGGCTTTGTGGGATACATATTTTGATTTCGACGAGAAAGTTCCGCTCGAGTTGGAGGCAACATTACAAAGATCGATCGAAGATATCCTGAAGATGTGCAAGCGTCCACCAGAATATTGAATTTTCAGTTCAAATTATCAGTGTAATGGTCATTTTATGTTATGAATGTCAATTGCCCTTTGAAAATTAAACCTAACTTCGGATTTGTTTTGAAGATACATCTCCAGAACAAATTAAACCTAACTTATAGGGTGTCTCTTAAAATTATTTTTTTTGTTGAATATTAAAAAAAAAAGCGTCTGAAAATATAAACATATTTGAAAATTCACACTGTACACGAGAAATATATATATATATATATATATATATATATATATATATATATATATATATATATATATATATATATATATATATATATGATGTAATTAAAAATTCTCGAAATTTTTAGGCTGGAATGTAATTCAATCCATGAAAAAAAAACTAAACAGTAAACAAATGTAGAGAAACAGGTGTTTGGTTGAAAATCGAGTGATCCAAGAAAGGAACTCGTTCTTACCGTAACACGCAAACTCAATAAATATATCTGAGATTCAATCAGAACTCATTACTCAACCGACGACGTGAAATCAGGTCTTCGAAAATCACTTTTGGACACCTGATTTCAGTTCCTTCTTTATTTTTACAATCCCAATTTAAAACGCGACGCAACAATTTCATTATTCATTCTTCATTTTAATACACCACAGTTAGAGAGAGTGAAAGAAAATGGGTTGCTCTTTCTCCGGTTTAAATGCATTATACGACTCTGTGAACGGAGGCGGTGATGTTTGGATCAACGAGAATCGCTTCCGCATCTTGCGACAGCTCGGAGAAGGTGGCTTCGCTTACGTTTACCTCGTCAAGGAAACTCCTAACGACTCTGCTGCCGGTGGCCTCGCCAATAAACTCAAAGACTCCTCTCATCTCTCCGGTTGGATTCCGTTTCATTCATTTCTTAATCACTTCATTTATTTTTAAATTCATGAAATCAGTGATGAGTGATACTGATCTATCGAAGCCTGATCTATTGATTCGTTTGCATTTTTTTTACTCGATCTGCGATTTCATTGAATTTAGCATACTTTCAGTTTTACTTTTCCGATCTGATGAAGTTGATTATTGATTTGAATTTCTTGTTGTTATGCCGTATGCTGAAGTGATCTTGTAATTAGATGCGATGAAACTAGTAATCTTTGCTTTGATAGCGCGTGTGTTTTATTCGTGCTCTTTTAGCATTTGAGAATTTGAGAATTTGAGAATAGGAGGTTTTATCTTGTTGATTGTTTTATGGAGTTCAAGCTTAGTTTTGATAATAGTTAGTGAAGAATGTTTCATGTTGTTGTAGTAACTAAGAGCTATCTGTAAATTGTTTTTTCTTTTTAAATGAATAGGTATCAATGTGTGACTCAGTAGATCTGTGTGCGTGTTTCGGTGAGCATTAGCAAATGTGATTTTCAATGGAGTTGACTTTACATGATTCATTTTGTGAAAATTAGTTTGAAGTTATGTTTGAATGTTTTCAGTTTCAAATGAAGTTTGATATAAAATTTAGTGTAAAATTTTCAATTCAACTGTACTTTTTTATTACTTTAGTCGAACCAAGGTTTGCAACCGAAATCAATTCTGGTGGTTTCCACCATGAAATCAAACACTAATTAATATATTGACTGTACTATCTCTTATTTGCAGATGATGGATCTTATGCTATGAAAAAGGTCCTCATTCAGAACAACGAGCAGTTGGAGTTGGTCAGGGAGGAGATACGTGTCTCGTCACTGTTTAGTCACCCCAATCTCCTGCCGCTTCTTGATCATGCAATCATTTCTGTTAAGGTGAAGTAATGATTGCAACCAACACACACTCCTTTAGCTCAGCTTGATTTTGTGATTTTATGTTGACGTAGAATATGTCGCTTTTGTTGGCAGCCTACTGCAGAAACATCTTGGAGCCATGAAGCATACTTGTTATTTCCGGTTCATTTGGATGGAACATTGCTAGACAATGCCAAAACAATGAAAGCCAAGAAGGAGCACTATTCTACCTCAGATGTTCTTCAAATATTTCGGCAGGTAAAAAGCACTGTATTTGTATTTTCATTATGCATTTTAAGAATAACTTTTTTCTGTCAAGGGAGGGGGATTAGGGTCCTGAAGTAGCACTCTTGCACTTCAACATTTATTATATCTTGTTTAGCACATATTATAGCCATTCTTGGTTGTCTCACACATTTGTATCATGCTAGCAATTCATGAGACATGGTGCAATGACTCTCACAATTGGTAGAAGATAGATAACCGGGTATTAAAAACTATCAATTAATTCAACTCCCAGTCTATGTGTTAGGAGGACTAGTGATCAATTACAGTTGCATTGAAATGAAAAGAATAAATGATAGAATGAGCTAAGCTCTACCGAGGGAAGAAGGAAGACATCAGATAGAGGAATTCATCATCAATAATTGCTTGCCTTTTAATTCAGTTCTCTTCCTTTCTTATACTCGCTTTAGAGCTGAATGTTAGTTATCCTTGCCTTTTTACTTCTTTTTGCTCCCTGTATTTGTGGAGCCTCTATAACTGATTTGGGCTCATCGTGATTACCATATTGCGCTGACTCACCCTCCAGCTGGAACCTCATCACACATGGGTTATTGTTGCCTTGAGAATGATATTGTAAAAGAAAAATGGATTTCTCTGGTCTGCTTATTTCATCTTTTAGTTTCTATGTTCCTGTTGAGATTTAAGTTCTAGTGACAGCAATTGTTTCTATTATAAGATCCTTTTAACCCCTCAAAATCAACTCAACAGCTCTGTGCAGGACTAAAGCACATGCACAATTTAGATCCTCCATATGCACACAATGATGTCAAACCTGGTAATGTTCTCCTAACACACAGAAAAGGACAACCGCCACTTGCCATACTGATGGATTTTGGCAGTGCTCGCCCAGCAAGGAAGCAGATTAGCTCCCGATCAGAGGCACTCCAGTTGCAGGTGATTCTTTCTTTCTGATTTTTGTAGTGTTTGTAAATAAAAAAATATGTACTGCTTTAATAGTTTAGAACTTCCATTGCTTGCAGAATGGTTTCTGTGACAGCACATAAATGTATGGTGCTTGTAAATATATCATATTTTAGGATGTCTTGTGATTCTATTACTCCATATGTATTATGTGAAATTGTATTGCCTGATGTGATAAGTGCATATGCACCATCAGGCTGGTAATGGATTTTGGAGTTCTTATTGTACATTAACTAGTCCTTTATTCTATTTTAAACTAAATTTCTTTGCTTAGGTAATAGATTTTGGATTTCTTATTCTACATTAACTGGTCCTTTATTCCATTTAAAACTAAGTTTCTTCTATCAGTTTTTCTATTTTTTGTAGGTTTTAGAAATATGAAAAAGAAAAGCTTCTTTTCAGTCATCAAGCTTGGATTTTCTGACCTGGTGTTTGCTACTTGTCTTCCTATGCAGGAATGGGCATCTGAACATGTCTCTGCTCCTTTCCGAGCCCCTGAGCTGTGGGATTGTCCAAGCCATACCGATATAGATGAGAGGACTGACATTTGGTCACTAGGATGCACATTATATGCAATAATGTGAGGATTAATCCTTCTTTTGTGATTATGTTAATTTGATGTTTACATTTTTTTACTAACTGGGCCTGAATAGAACATAATAACCATATTTTGATCCTCATATATGCAATGCATTTGATCTGAACCCTTAGGCTCTGTTTGCGGATCTCAGAGGCCCTCCTCTCCAAACTCGCAAACAGAGTCTTAGTGTAACCTTTAAAAGAAGGGGGGTGTGGGAATAGAAAAACATACTGATGCTCATGCTATTGGGTCACTTTGCATAGATTATTGATTTGGAGCAATGCTCCCATAGTTAACATGAAATAAAATTCAATAGCTATCCTTAGAAGTTTGACTGTGTTGTCTTGACTCTTAAGGGTTGTTCCATTGGCATTATCATTTGATATTTCATTAACAGAAACCCTATGGTTGAAATGTGTTTTTTATTGACACTAACAGCTGCGCTGATTTATATTTACCCTTTTAAGTATAGCAAAATCAACAAACTACTTCCTCTGTACCATCAAATAAGAGTTGTCTGATTTTTTTACTTGGTGTTATAAATATATCTTGGTGGTTTTAGTACTCATGTTAACTGTTTATCATTTCATGTGGCTGAAATTTTCAGGTATGGCGTATCTCCATTTGAATATGCACTTGGAGAGTCTGGTGGAAGTTTGCAATTGGCTATTATAAATGCTCAGGTCAAATGGCCAGCTGGACATAAACCTTCATATCCAGACGCATTTCATCAGTTTGTGTCATGGATGCTTCAGCCCCAAGCTGCCATGAGGCCCAGGATAGACGATATTGTTATCCATGTTGATAAGTTGATTGCAAAGTTCTCTCAATGAGTCACCAGAGAACAGTGGCATTATCACTTAAGTAAGTCGTTTAAAAAACTCGTGTGCAACTGTGCATTTACCGTCCAGTTATATATCAATGGATCTAAAAGCAGTAATAGTTCATCGCCCCAGAGTTAACAATATCTGTATCTTTTTCAGTTTTGGTGTTAGATAGATAGTCGGGCCCTGGGTTAAAAGAATTGTTTGTCATTTTCACATAATTTTATCTCTTGTAATTTATGAAATGGCCAATCTCCCGTGTCTTCCTCAGAGATTATGCGCATAAATGGGACATAATTATTTATTCAATGTTCGTTGTTAATATCTTGATCATGTAGCATGTATTTTATCAGCATTACTCCATAATCATACCTCCTCCTGTTGGTAACGTAATGCATAATAAGTCTGGTCCTCATTGTTAAGTAATTAAGAATACAATTGGCCACTTTATTCCCTTTGAATCTTTCTCTGGTGCAAAACCAGAATAATTTCGAATGTCATTCAAAAAATACAAATACCAACAATAGTATTTTTGGAATCTGTTTAGTATACAGACAAAACATATGAACATGCAAAAGTAGACCCTTAACAAAAATGAGGATTGCTATGTTTACACTCAAAATTTAACACCGGATGATCACATCGTCTCAAATAAAGCATGGCCATGTATTTGTTTCTCTTAGAACAGGAAAAAAAAATTTAAACATTTAAAAAAAACCAAAACCGTATATTAATACAGTATAGGTGTTACTTCGAGTGTAAAAATAACATTGTTCAACAAAAATAACAAACGTAAATAAAAACAATGCAAAACGCAAAATGTCAAAGATGGAAGGGGAAATGCTTAACCAGGGACCACCTACAACAATAGAACCCCACCACCTTACGAACAGCACTAGAATATCTTGTAAGTTATATAAAAACAGTTTGTTTTAAATTTTTCTTTTAAAAATTAATATTTATGTTATTAAATATTTTTATTAAAACATAATAGTAAATGTTTTTGTCAAAAAATTTCAAATAGATTTTAAAAAATAAATAAATAAAAATTGATTTAAATAGCTTCTCATAACAAATAATTTTATGTATTTCATCTTTTTATTATATATTTTTTTGATATTAAAATTTGAAAAAGTATTAAAATTTGCAATATTTAAATAGCTTTTATATAAAAATCAATTTTAGATTGAAAAATTCTTAGATAGAAACAATAATAACACAAAGTTATACACACAACTAATCATAATTTATTCGACTTAATTATAACTTTGGTCTCTCATTTTAAAAATTACAATTTTGATCCTTTTTAAAATTTTGTATTTGTATTTTAGTCCTCTCTTCCATTTCTGATTTATTTTTAATGATGGTGTGGTTATTGTTGACGCGTGAATGCCAAATTATTTTAATCTTTTGTTTTCATTTAATATATATGTTAATGTTTTTTTTTATATAAATTTCAAAATTATTAATCTAATACCATTATATAAAAGATAGAAATATATATTAATGGTATTTTTGTTCACAAACTTAACACCTCCTTCACAAACCCAGCGCCTCCTGCACTTTTGGTTTGGAGAGGAAGAGGATTGACAAGTTTTTCTTGATGATGAAGGTGGTTTGTTACGCGGTTTTTGTTAAGGGAGTGTGGTATGGAAAAGAAAAATAGTGAAGAAGGGAGTCTTATGGGTGGCTGTGTTGCGGTGGAAAATGAAGATTGAGAGTGACAATTTTGGTTGGGGGAGAAAGCAGATTAACAATTTAATCTTAAAAAAATCATCAATCAAGACCAACGAATAAAATCCTAACTCTAACCCCCAAATGTGTCTTTCTTCATAGAGCTGAAGATAAAGTTAGTTATTTCTCAATTTAAGGTATTCATACTAATAAAGAATTCATGGTAATGGAAGAAAATACTTCTAATCTTTTGGTTCACAATGACATACATAGCGAAATCAGTTGTTAAATAATTCAAATATTTGAATAGTCAAAACGTAAAAGAATATAATCAAAATTAAAAGAGAAATTATTTTCATGGAAAATAAAAAACATGTTGATACGGTTACACAAAGGAAAAAAAATACTAGATAATTTAGATTAAAATAAAAAATTATTTAGAATCGATTTTAAACCGGTTCAGAATCGATTATAAATTTTAAATTGAATTTTGTAATAAATGGTTTGATTTATAAATTATAATTATAAAAATAGATTAATTTATATTAAATTATTATTCATTTACATCCCTAATTAAATGCAAACATAGAATTGGATATGATTTTCGAGATTCAAAGGTGAAGAATATGTGTTTGAGAAATAATGTTTTGAGAAATAATGTTTAAAGAAGAGGGACATGGGTGTGAAAAGCAAGGATTTCAAGGTTCTCAAATCATGAACAATATTAATATCTTGTAGTTGGAGAATTAATGTTATTATTTTCTTTTTTTCCTATTTTGAAACCTGATTTTGAACTACTGCCTTTCACATTTGTTTTAGATTATTGTTATTCAATTGATTAATTGATTATGAATTTTGAAAGTACAATGAAGCAAAATTTGCACTTGCACAGTTGCACTACTGCAATTTCTGATTCGTGAACGAGAAAGGGTGATGAAGAATATTTTTTTTTGTTTTTGATTTTTGAGAGAGAGATATAGGAAGTCAGCCTATGAGAGAAAAAGAGATTGGATTTCAGAAGAGGATATTGGATTTCAAAATTGTAGTTTTTAATTAGTTTATTTTTTAAAAATAGAATAGATAATTGAATTAATATTAAATTTTAAAAAATAATTTAAATTTAAATGGATAAATATGACATAGAAATATATTTGGAAAAAAGAAAAGGATAAGTCATCACTAATCACGTCACATCATTAAAAATAAGTCATAAATTTGTGAGGGACTAAAATCCAACACAAAATTTAAAAAAGGGACCACGTGGTTTTTAAAATAAGAGATCAAAACTAAAAAAAAGTCAAAATAAGGGAATCAAAGTTGCAATTAAATCTATTTTTTTATTATTTAAAAAATAAAAATAAAAATTTCTCCCTCCTTCATATCATAACTACTCATAATTCCAATTAAAATTTTCTTATTTCTAAGAATTGTTGGTGCACATGCGTGCGTGTGTGTGTGAGAGAGAGATTCTAATAAACTTTCATTGTAATTCCACTAAGGGTTACACATAGAGGATTGTTACACCACAACTCTATCGTACAATGTGTTTCTATTACTTAATGGCTAAGCACAATACTACTTATATACACAAACAATAATGCCACGTAGGAAAAATACTAAAATACTGAATTACCCTTTAACACCATCTCTTAAGTGGAGAAATTGATCAGTTTTGATCGCATTCGTCAGAACAATTGGCAATTGCTTATGGGTACTACAATGCACAACTTCTAGCACTTCATTATGGACTTGACTTCTCTGGAAATGATACTTTGTCTCAATATGCTTGCTTCTTCCATGCAACACTGAGTTCTTGGCAAGATTGATTGCAGACTTGTTGTCAATCATCAACTTCAAAGGCTTATTTACCTTGATCTTCATATCCGGCAGTAAATTCAAAAGCCAAACAACTTGACATGTAGCCACATCACCTACAAAGTACTCAGCTTCACAGTTCGACAAAGCAATAACTAGTTGTGTCTTGAAACACTAAGAAATAAGACCTCCTAGATACTTAAACAAATATCCAAAAGTACTTCTTCTGTCAACTCTGTCTCCACACCAATCAGAGTCTAAATAACACATCAGATCTGAATTAGCACTAAAAGGGAACAAAACTCCATACTTCAGAGTCCTCTTAAATACCTCAAAATTCTAACAATATCTTGGTAATGAGACCACTTCAGCTTACTCATGAATCTGCTAACCATTCCAACTACATAGCAAATGTCAGATGGTATTACACAATTACCTCAAAGAGCCAACCAACTGCTTGAAAGTTACAGCACCAACATCATCACCATCAAGATCAGAATCTAACTTGTGATTCGTTTCAGCAGGTGTGACATCAACTTTACAATTCAGCAGCTCGAATATCTTTAGAAGCTCAAGTTCATACTTCAGCTGATGCAAAACGATACCCTTCTCAGAGTACATAAACTCCACCCCTAAAATAATATGTCATATTTCCTAGGTCAATCATCTCAAACCCATTCATCAGCATCTTCTTGAACTTAGCTATCTCATGTTCACAACTCCCTGTTAGCAATATGTCATCAACATAGAGATACAGAAGAATTATATTTCCTTCAAAAGTATATTGAGCATAAACGCCATATTCCATCTCACACTTTCTGAACCCTTGATGCTTGAAAAATGAATCAATTTTTAGATTCCAAGCTCTAAGAGCTTGTTTTAGTCCATACAACGCTTTATGTAACTTGTACACTATCCCTTCCTAGTTCTTTTTCTCAAATCCAGGAGGTTGTGACACATATATCTCTTCTTGCAATGGACCATTCAGAAATGCAAATTTCACATCTAAATGCATCAGAGGCCAATTCTTGTTAGCTGCTATCGCAGTCACCAGTCTGATTGTCTCATGTCTCGCTACAGGAGCAAACACTTCAAAGTAATCTAACCTAGGTTTATGTATCCTCTTGATACTAACCTTACTTATTGTTTGCCAATTGTTCATCTGACTTTAGTTTCACCTTACCTATCTGACGCTGATGACTTTCTTGTTCTTTGGGAGCTCTGTCAACTTCCAAGTCTAGTTTCTTTCTATAGCCTCAAATTCTTCTTTCACGACCTTCAGCCACATTTTCTTCTTGAGCTCTTCTTTAATACTGATTGGTTTAAAGTCTACTAATGTAGTACACTATATGACTTCCTCTTCAGAGTCTACTTCAGTATCTTGCAACATGTCAAACTCCACAAATTTCCTTGGTATGTTTCTGATTATTTGTGGCCTCTAAACTTGTTCAAAATCGTCTTCGGGTTCTAAAAAACTATCAGATGCTAGAACCCCAGAAGTACTACCTTTATAGGAAGAC